TTAATAATGATTAATTCCCTTACAACTAAGTAAATTATTACACTTCTCAGCAAGGCTGCATTTATTTGTACAGTAAAAAAAATACATGCCTGATTCAAGAAGGGGGTCTCAAAAATGGCCAAAAAATATTATTTTACAAACGTATTAATTTGAAGTTAAATTGTGTTTTATTGGTATAATGTCTGCTAGAATGTTAAAAAATTTTCAGTGTTAAGTAAATATTTTTAAAGCACATTTTGGCTATTTAATTTATGCAATGGTGGAAAAAATTGACAAAATGGGGGAAAAAATTTGAAAAAACCGTGTTCGGTATTCGGCCCAGTGTTTCATTTTGTTCGGCTTTGGCTAAGAATTTTCATTTCGGTGCATCCAATTTCGGAAATTCGAGTCTCTCGACCTAGATCCAAAATCATTACAAGCACTTATTTTGAGCAATAACGAGCTCTACATTGGTCCACATTCTCCCAAATAACAAGTTAAAGCCCAAATATTATGCTCCAGGGCACCGCTGCACCATCCTGAACAAATGTTGTGGAAAATGAGCTACCAAGGATGAAATCCAATAAATGATTTCTCATTAAAGCATGTTGAGTGTCTGCTTAGGGTCTATTCAACTTCAACCTTCCGAGTTAGCTCATTTTTATCATTTTCTGGGGATGTTTTAGTGGCGAATTGGTAACTTTGCAAAACTATGGGCAAACAAAGTAGACAAAATGTCCTTAAAGTGATAGTTCACCCTAAAAAAAGAAAAAAGAAAAAAAAATTTACTCACCCTCAAGTTGTTCCAAGCCTGTATGCGTTTCTTTCTTCTGCTCAACATAAAAGAACCGATTTTGAAGAATCGGGGTATCCAATCAGTTGCTGGTAGCCATTGATTTCCATAAAGAAAAAAATACTAGGGACCAGAAACTGTTTGCTTACCCACATTCTTCAAAATAACTTCTGTGTTTAGCAGAAGAGAGAAATTCAGGTTTGGAACAACTTAAGGGTGAGTAACAGATGACAGACTTTTCATTTTTTTGTTCAACTATCCCATTAATGGCCTTTGTTTTAGTTAAATACAGCTCAGGCTTGTACTAATGACCTATTTGTCTTATATGAAGGCCCATGATATTAAACACTGGTTGTAAGCATTGCTAATGAATTAAGCAGGCAGGGCTTTCTGAGGCAATGCCAAAACACTTACAGCTGTTGGAAACTTTATAGGGTATATAAGTCATCACATAGCTTGGCAAAGAAAGAGAGAACATGAAAGAACGAGAAGTGCCTTGCTTGTTGACAAACCACTTAAATGGATTGTTCACCACCAAAAAAAAAAAAAACTGACATTGTTCACTCTCCCTCATGTCATGGAAAAGTATGGCCAAAATATTCTTTAAGAATGTTGATTTCTCTTCTTACTCTGAAATACTTTCCCACAACTTTTTGTATACAAGTTTTAACATTGACAACATCACTGGCAAATAATTGGAAAAACAAAATTAAATAAATGTATTTTATTATTCTAGTAATATATTATTCTAGTAACATTCAAATATTCAAGTAACATTTGTATTTGCTTTCTGTACAATTGTTGTAGTTTTCACTAATACTTAACCCATAAAATAAACCTATAATAAATAATAAACAAACAAATAAATAATAAAAGAAAGGGGAAAAAAATGTAAATTATAACTTGTAAAAATTATTTAGAAAACAATAATTTCCTTTTTTGCACAATTGTTGGACCTCACATTGATGCTTAAAACATAATCATTAAAAATATATACATTATTAAGAAAACAAAGGCAAAGGCAGCTTTTAATAAAAAAAAAACATTTAATGTGTGATTGGCATTATTATTATTATTATTAATTTTATGTTACATTATATGATTATTTAGAATACAATAATTAAAAATGCTTAAAACTTAGACAAGCAAACAAATAAATAACAACAACAAAAAAAATACCAGCTGGAGCCAATGGGTTTTTAATAATTTAAAAGTTGAATAATTTTAATCTGTGATTTAATCTGGCCATCCATTCATAGGCTACATCATCCCCGAGACACAGATGGATGGATATTATTTAGTAAACTAATATGTTGGAGAAAAATACCATTTATATGGAGTTTCTTGACAATTTTTTCCTTACTGAAAATTCAAGGGACAGGTTGGTCACCATATTTCGATGATGACCCTTTACATAACATGGGGGTGAGTAAATATCTCTGAAAGCACATTTCCAAGAACTTCCCTCGTGTGTAACCCAAAAGCATGTGCTCTTACCTGAGCGCCTCGGTCCACTTCAGCTCGAGCTCCAGGGCCATCTTATCCATTTTGAGCTTCTCTTCCTCTTTGGTAGCGATGAGTTTGGCATCATGTTGTTGTTTCTGAGACTCCATCTCTCCCTGAGGACAAGAACGAGAGCGAACATTAGCTCTGATGAGCCATTAAGCACATGACCCGTGATTGTGAGGTCTATCACGCGGTACTCAGGATGAGAGGGAGGGCTCTTCTTCACAGCTATCAATCAAACAGGGGCCATGAGATGGAAATCCATTTTCATTTCTCCACTCACTCATTTCTTCCCTCACGCACACACAGGTCTGATTCATTATGCATGGTCACTCGGAGAAACTGTGCTTCAGGTCAAGGACACAGGAAGAGGCCTCTCTAATGAAGTGTCTGTCACAATAGGGCCAAAACTGCAGGTGGGTGTAATTCAACAGAGCATCTATAACTCGTTTCATAATGATAAACTCATTGCAGGTGTTTTTAGAAGCTATTCAGGGAAACTGAGGGCAAATGCAGTATATATTTAAAAAAAAATCACCCACATCAACTTTAATGATAAAAATATCTGGCAGGAGCAGCTGAGTTATGTGACTTTGAAGTATGAAGTCTCATTCTCATTATTTTTGGAAGTAATTGCTTTTGGTAATAGACCTGAAGGGCTGTTAAGAGGTTGCTAGTCTCTCTGAGTCTTGCTCGCGTGGCGTCCAGCTCTTCTAGAAGCTTCTTCTGGGCATCCTTCAGATTGGAGATGTGTCCCTCAGCAGAACTTAGTCCCTGCTCTCCCTGCTTCATCAGCTCCTGGAGTCGATTCACCTGAGGAACAGGAGAAGTTACTCACTTTTGAGCAGATGCTTGTTCTCAGTGTTGAGTTAAAGGACACTGTAAGAATGAGGCACTCAACTTTATTACAAAACAAAACTAAACTTAACTAAATATGTTCAGTATTGTAATTAAAACTACAAGTAACAAGAACACAAGTATTAAATTACTTATATAATTAATATATTTATATAATTAATTACTAACAACAATAAATCTACTCAATCTCTATAGCACTCTTACAATGATAAATAAAATATAAAATAAAATAATAACATAACATAACATAACAAATGATTTTAGTATTATTTATTTAAAAACATATAACAAATATTTAGAATACAATTCTTAAATTCTTTATATTATATAATTATTATAATAATAATTTTTTTAATGGCACCTTGTGCTAATTATTAACCCAATAAAACAAAATTGCAAAAATAAATAAATAAATAAATAAATAAATAACAACAGTACATTTCATACCCTAGTGAGCTACATAAGCAGCTACTCAACTGAAAAAAAAACCTTAAACTAAGTATTTTTCAGGTCTTAGTGGGCCTGTTGGCTTGTTTTAGAGGGGTTTTGGATACTTTTTAGCTGATTGCCAAGCTAAAACAGCCAAAGACCAGCCTAGGCCAGCTAGGAAACCAGCAAATCAGCAGGATATCTTCAAAAGGCAGCATCCTAACCCAAATAGAGAGACTCAGCTATTGTGGAACAGCCTTTAAGTGAGGAGCATGGCTAAATATGTACCCTAGGTATATAGTTGGTTTCTAGATGATCCAAGTTGGTCATCATCTTTGCCCAGCAACAAACCAGTTACCAGCTGGACTGGTTTTTGGAACATGCATGATGATCAATCAGCCAATGACCAGTTTAGACTAGCTAAAACCACAGCTACCATATGTCAAAACAGATACCATCTTAAGATGGATTTTCCAGCAATTTCAGAGCTTCATTTCCATTTATGCTAAGCAAATTTTGATGTGCACATTAAGCATGACATTATTCAAGCAAGTGAATGAAGCCTTGCTAAATTGAATGATTGGGTAATAATCAGTGATGCTGCTTCTCTTCAGGGGTCTCCTTGGCCCATTTGCAACTGTGGCTAAGGTACATGGGACTCGGCCAGATTTGTGTTCCAGAAGCCCATTAAAACACATTGAGACTAATGAGATGATAAACACATGCCACTGAAATTAATCACGCTTCCCTTCGCTTCCGTGCCTTCCTTTCTACCTGCTAAATCACTTTCACAGAGACAAAAAAAAAGGTTGTACCTCACTGTTGGCCATGTTTAGTTTGGCTGCGAGCTCCTCTCGCAGACTGTCCAGTTCCTCTCGTAAAAGGCTCTTCTGTTCCTCTAGAGAGCTACGTTCCTTCTTGAACTGTTCCTCCATTTCCTATAAATCCAAAAGAAGATGCTGATTACAAATGACAACAGCTTATAAACATGAGAAACAATTTACGTTATTGGAAATAAGACAACCGTGTGTAGGGATTGCGTCGTTAATGTTATCGTTCACCAAAAAAGTGAAAATCCAATCATTTGCTACTAATCCTCATGTTGATCCAAATCCATAGAGGAAAGAAACCCATAGGTTTAAAAAAACATGAGAGAGAATAAATGTGACCCTGGACCACAAAACCAGTCATAAGGGTCAATTTTTTAAAATTGAGATTTATGCATCATATGAAAGCTAAATAAATAAGCTTACCATTGATGTATGGTTTGTTAGGGTAGGACAATATTTGGCAGAGATACAACTATTTGAAAATCTGGAATCTGAGGATTTCAAAAAAAGAAAATCACCTTTAAAGTTGTCCAAATGAAGTTCTTAGCCATGCATCTTTCTAATCAAAAATTAAGTTTTAATACATTTACGGTAGGAAATTTACAAAAAAACTCATGGAACATGATCTTTACTTAATATCTTAATGATTTTTGGCATAAAAGAAAAATCTATAATTTTCACCAATACAATGTATTTCTGGCTATTGCTACAAATATACCCAAGTGACTTAAGACTGGTTTTGTGGTCCAGGGTCACAAATAATGACAGAAGTTTCATTACTGGATGAACTATTCCTTAACTCACGACAGAAATCTTTTTTAGGCTGTGACATTTTGAAGGCAACACTCTCTGGGGACTTAATTTCAAACATGTCAGGGTAGTGCCTTGGAAAATCCACTTAATATCTGTCTCAGGAAGCAGGAAAAAAATAAGATGACAAGATTTGCAATGCAAAAACAAGGCATGGGAAGAAATTAATAGCTATATTTTATTCATCATAAGATTCTTGAGCTTTACTGAGCTCTCCTGGAATATTATAATAAGAAACTAATCATAGCCATCCTGAGATAAAGAAAGAGAGAGAGGAAGGGCCCTAGGCTTCATCTAAAATAGGACGTCAGCGCAGTCGTCACGCTGCTCCTGTACAAGGCAGTGAGTCAGTGGCACACTCTAACAGAGGCCACTCTCATTGATTATTCATCCACGCCTCAATTTTTCAAACTGCATTTCCATTTCTGAGAGCGGCGGGCGCTACGGTGGCGGAGCGATAAGCCCAAAACGGCCACGCTGCAATGTGATTAACTGGCGACGTCCACCGGCACAAAGGTTTGCTGAAGGGTCGTACGGGTTTGACAGCAGGTGATAAAGGTGGAGCAGGCCGGCTTTGGGTAGGTTTAATCTCTGTAAGCGTGGAGAGGAAGTGGAAACTCACTGCTCAGCTTGTTAAGGATGGAAGACACGACTTTTAAAATCTGAAAAGATTTTAAAACAAGGCATTATACACTTGCCGACTTCGTAAATAGTTACAGAGGAAAAACTGGGCAACAACTAGACGAAAGGAACACACACTACCATACCTTCAAGTCAGGCCGAACTAGTGTTGTCAAACGTAGCGACCGCAATAAGCACCGTCTGTCAGCGGATCACTAATATATCTGCACATAGACGGATCCGCTGACAGATGCCTGCTTTCAAACGCTTCCGTGAGCTTCTGTGTGAGCGCTCGGTGAAGTGCATGAAGCGATGATCATTGTAGCCAAACACTGTCATATCTGTTGAGCGCGTGAACACTATGGCCAATCGGCGGCATTTAAGAATCTGCTCAACAGCGCTCAAATGTTAGCGGGAAATGGACGTTTTTGAAATTACAGTACCGACTGGTATCGTGGCCATTACGTTTGACAACAGTAGTTCGAACACAACAAACTCATGCGGAAACACGTGCCTTGTTGTAAGAAGACACATGACAAATGAAAACAATGTGTGTTCTGAAATTGGCTAAAAAAAATAATGGATGGAATCATAGTCTAAAGCTAAAGACAGTCTGCGACCATCATACACACTATGCGATATATATATATATATATATATATATATATATATACGGCATTAAACTGATTTCATAAAAAATCGCATAGTGTGTATGATGGTCGCAGACTGTTTTTAGCTTAATATAAATTAATATAATTTTACACTTGTACATTTCTAAATGTATACATTTTTAAATATTATTTTTTTGCATAAATAATTTGTATTTAATTTGCATATTATTGCACATTATTTATACATACACCACCAATCAACAGGATGGGATCAGTAAGTTTTTTCTGACCTTTCTGATCTAATCAAAATAAAAAATTAAATAAAACTACTTTAGTCAGCAAGTACACATTAAATTGATCAAAAGTGACTTTTACACTGTTACACAAGATTTCTATTTCAATTTTTTATTATTTTTTTACTTTCTGTTCATTAAAGAATCCTGAAAAGAAAAAAGAAAAAAACATGTATCATGGTTTCCAAAAATATGTTAAGAAGCACAACAATTTTAAACATTGGTAATAATAAATGTTTCTGCAATTCAGCACATTACAATGATCCTGAGTAATGAGTAATGATGCTGAAAAATTAGCTTTGCGATCACAGGAATATATTTTGAAATGTAAAAAAAAAACATTAAAATGAAAAGATCTCACTGCCCCCGAGCTTTCAAACATTAGTGTTTAATAGTTTTTTTCCATTAAAGGGATAGTTCACCCAAAAATGAAAATTCTGTCATCATTTACTCACCCTCATGTCGTTCCAAACCTGTATGACTTGCTTTCTTATGTTGAACACAAAAGAAGATATTTTGAAGATTGCTGGTAATCAAACAGTACTGTGCATTGTTTTTTTGTTGTAGTTGCTTTGTACCTTATTCTATTAGTATTGACACACATTGTGTTTATCATTGCTTTCTGTTTCTGTGTACACTATTTTCTGTGTAGAAAAAAAAAAAAACCCTGAACCTGTAACAATTGTTCTCTCTGATCTTTCGCTTGCAATCAAAGGTACTTCTTGTTCTTTCTCAAGGTGACACCTCCCGACTGCCGCCAGACAGCGAGCTACTCTTCAGTCTGAAGCTAACGAGTGAGGCGCAGTCATGCTGATATCTCAACAGGACAGCTCTGGGAGTCTTTAGAAAGTTGTATGTGGGCCCAGGCTGACAGCCAGTGAGTAGGTGTTGTGACAGAGTTCACTCACGGACAGGAGTCGGTTCCTCTCTTTCTCGGAGACGCTCTGGGTGTTTTCTAGAACGGCCCGGTGCTTCCTGGAGAGCTCGTCCAGCGCCCGGCTGTGGGAATCCTTAAAGTGAGCAGTGTCCTCTTCATATTTGGCACACAAGTTCATGAGCTCCTTCTCATAGATCTGCTTTTCCTCTCGAAGTGACTGTTGAGGGAAAAAAATCAAAGACAAATATATTTAAAAGATGGTCTGATACTAATATATATTTATTTATATTGTATATAAATATGAAAAAATAAAAAAGCTCTAAACACATAAATTTCATTATTACCCATCTGATGCATTTGTATTCATTTATTATCCCTTAAATCTAGATACAGTTTCTGATTATTTATTATTTCCATATTAAATATGCTATTTACTATATACACGACATTTTACACAATCGCTCAAAACATTTTTTTTTTTTTTTATGTTTTTGAAAAATGCTCATCAAGGCTACATTTATTTGACCGACCAAAAAATAAATAAAAACAGTAATATTATGAATTATTATTACAATTTAAAATAGCCTGTTTTCAGTTTCAATATATTTTAAAAAGTAATTTGTCAAATCAAGCGTCACATGATCCTTCAGAAATCATTCTAATATACTGATTTGCTGCTCAAGAAACATTTATCATCATTAATGTTGATAACAGTGCTTAATATTTTTGTGGAAACCATGATACATTTTTTCAGGATTCTTTGATTCTTTCTTTGAACAAAGAAGAACAGCATTTATTTGATACAGAAATTATAAATACCTTTACTGTCACTTTTGATCAACTGAATGTGTCTTTGCTGAAAAGTAGTCATTTCTTTCAATAAATAAATAAATAATACTGACCCCAAACCCTTGAACAGTAGTGTTCATGTCATATATCTGATCTTAATGACTACTACTTTTGAAAGAAAAGAAGAAGAAGAAAAAATGCCAGCTGCTAATTTATTCAACAAAGGTAATGGTTTTTAACTGGTTTTTGCATTTTGGTTTCAACAAATGATTTTTTTGGATGGAGAAGTACGAGTTTTGAACGTTTTCATAGGGAATTTATATATCATTTAATATCCTTTAGATAAATACTTTTCATTCCATGTTATTTAAAAAATAATATCAGTGTAGACCAGTATTATGAAGGCCTTTTCACTTTCACATAGATGACGCAAAGTGAAAGTATGTCTGAGTATGGTTTGTGAAAAGAGCACAAACAGGCATCAATAAGGGACACTGTCTCTTGTTCAGAAATGTTATGAATCCAATCTAAAAGTATAACAGTGAAAGCTGAAAGCCCACACTGACACTGTGAAGCAACTGCCCGCAAGTAAATAAACTTCCCATTATAGGACCAGCAGAAGTGTCGGCAGAGTGACTCACGCCACAATGCTTTCCCGCTCTACTTGGTGAGTGTTGTCATAGTAACACCTAACTCAAGGCTGTGCTGCTAACAAACTGTGATGTGGGCGACAGAACCAAACCGAGAGAAAGCTTGATGAGACCTTTTCAAATGAGAATGATCCTGAAATCCACGCAATTGGATTTTACATCTTATACATATTAACTGAATTTTGTTAGCCATATTATAATCATGTTCAAACTTTTTAACTGAATAAATTTGCATCAAAATATGATTATTTCAATAAAATCAAATAGATGAAAATATTTAAAAATAAATAATGCCATGTTTAATTTAATTGGATTTAATTCCATTTTTTGAGTGCAGAAATCTTTCCCGTTTTATTTGTTTTATGACTGACAAATATGTATCATACGAAGTTAGTTTGAAATATTAGTTTGTGTTAAAACTTGTAATCCAAATGGATGATATTCAAATTCAGTGCAATTCAAATACATAAATCCCACAATAAGACAAATATCTTTTGAGTGTTGAGAGACGTTTTTGAGTTGATTTTTACCTTGACAAACAATTTTAAATAAAATAAACAAATAAATATAAAAACAAACAATCAAATAAAAACAATTTTAAGTGCAGAAATCTTACCCGTTACTTTATTTTATGACTGACAAATATGCATCATATGAAGTTAGTTTGAAATATTCGTTTATGTTAAAACTTGCAATCCAAATGGATTCAAATTGAATTCAAATTCAATGCAATTCAAATACATAAATCTTAAAATAAGACAAATATTTTTTGAGTGTTGAGAGATGTTTTGAGTTTATTTTTACCATGACAAAAAATTTTATACAAATAAAATGTAAAAAATAAACAAACAAATAAATCAAAAGAAGATTTTACTAATCAACTAGTCAGTTTTTGGACACTTGTCATCCATCCCTATAGTATAGTACTTAACTCAAAGTAGTTTTTGATACTCCAGCAAATGGTACATAGAGAAACAAAAATAGGAATATTATATACAGTACAGTACTACCCACCATTTATTTATTTAGAACAATAGTGTGTGTACATGTACATGGATTACTCCTCTGTGAGGCTGTTCTCTTTTTTCATGGCCTTTACTGAAGCTGTAAATAAAAAATTCAGCTTAAATTTTCAATGAGCTTTTGCCTTCTTTCTTAGCCAAAACAGTGGAGATTGACAGGAAGCTATTAGGAAGAAAGAAGGGGAATGTCTTCGCAATGTGTCACATGACGGACTGCGCCACAGCTTTTTAAAAGTTTCCCCAAAGTCTACAAGTAAAACTGCTGAGAGGGATATTTCTGGAGCAGAAACAAGCCCACATTCCCACAAGCTGTTTATTGGGGCTCTCAACGTATTAATAATGGAAGACAAACCTAAATGCGACAGGATAGCCAAAAAGCCAAACTGCTAGAGCAGATTGTTGCGTGAAAAGAGCACGAAATGCCATACTGTAGCGAGTCAAATAAATAGCCACACTGTCTCCGCACAAGAAAAATGATTGCCAGGCTGAGTGAAACCACTGAGAAATAAGAATTCCCTTTCAATCAAACCGGGCGTCCACAAAGAGACATTTTCTGAGGTCTCGAGCGCTCTGCAGTGAGGATGGAGCGTTTTGAATTAAACATAGAGGTCTGGATTTGGCTGTGATAAAGCAGCCAGAGTTTAACATGAGAGATGGGCTTGTATATGCTTAAAGCTTAAGCTAATGATGTCTCAGAGGAACTCATGTGAAATAAATGTTTCTGCAGAAAATGTTTAAGCTACATACTGACAGATTCTGCAAACTTGAGCTGTTTTTCCTCACTCCATCTCTTAGACACATCAACCAGGCTTCAATATCTTATGGTGCAGTACAAACTGTGCCCACAAAGAATATTTGGACACTTAAAAATGTCATTGCATTAGATATAAAATATCAAAAAAGTGGCATTTGCACAAACTGCTGCTAGAGCAACCAGAAAGTTTCCAAAGAATCCAAAAAAAGTATGATGGTTTCCTGATAATAATAAGAAAAAATGTTTCTTGAGCACCAAATCAGCATATTAGAAGGATTTCTGAATTCTGGAGTAATGATGCTGAAAATTCAACTTTGCCATCACAGGAATAAATTCGATTTTAAAATATATTAAAATAGAAAACAGCTCTTTTAAATTTTTTTCATTTTTTATATGGTGCAATAAATTGTGCCCTCAAAACACATCATTGAATTGGTATAAAATATTTAAAAAATGAAAGTAATATATTATATTGTATATAATAAAATGTAGTGATAATTAAAAAATGTAATTTCTTAACTTCAATTTGTACAGTATAAAACCAACCAGCATCGTGCTTGTGATGTTTGACAACCGAAAGTATCCAAATAATTAAAAAATAATAATAATTATTGAGCAGGAAATCAGCATATTAGAATGACTTCTGAAGGATCATGTGACACTGAAGACTGAAGTAATGATGCTGAAAATTCAGCTTTGCCATCAACATTTTTTATTCTATTTTAAAATACACTGGAATAGAAAACTGTTCTTCTAAATTGTTCTTTATATAGTACAATAAGAATCATGCCGCCCAAAAATATCTGGACACTAAAAATGGCACTGATTAGATATAAAATATAAAACCAAGTGGCATCTGAAAAAAAAAATGCTAAAGCTTTTCTTAACTTTAGTTAACTTATACATTTATTCTGTATAAAACCAACTAGCGTCATGATTTTTGACAACCAGAAAGTGTCCAAAGAATCCCCCAAAAAAGTTGGTTGTGATACAAAGTGTCCAAACACTCCCAGCGGCCCCTAAACTGATCCATACTCAGTAAACTGAATGGGATTGATCCGTACCTTCTCTAGAGAGAGGATCTGCTGTCTCTGCCTCTCGTCCAGCGTCTGACATTTCTTCTGCAGTGCCCCTCGATCCTCCTCCAGACGCAACACCTTGTCCTTCAGACGAGACTTTTCCGATTCCAGATCCCGAATGACCGCCTCGTGAGTCATCTGGGTGGCCTGCAGGCTTCCAATCTGACCTGGACGGCAGAGAGAAAGCAGAGGAGGGTCAATGCTTTGAATGTCATCTAACACAGAGAGCAGACAGAGTCAAAGATCCTTTCCAACTGCCAATACTGTGAACCTGAACACTGCAAATAAACCTCAACTATCACCAGCAGTGTTCAACAGTTTGTCTACTCTTCACTAGATTTAATGTGTCTTGAAGATCTGTCTATGGCTATGTTAATAATAGAATAATAGCACGCTTACTGCATACTGCACAGTACAGCAGACTGCATATTATGTATTAAATATAGTATGTTGAACAGTATAGAAGAGTAAATTATGCTGCATGTTTAATTCAGGAATTTCAGTTGTCACCTCAGAAATAAAACATTTCTAATTCCAATTAAATATATATATATATTTGGCAATCAAAGAAAGCAGCATTTTTGTCTAAAACTTGAACAGTTATATCCTTTTTGTTAATTGAAATAAAACTGAAATGAAATACAATAAAATATAAATATTCTAAGAAAGCTTAAAATGTAAAAAAAACATATTTATTATTTACTGATTTATTTCAGGTAGTTGCCAAGGCAATATTTAAATTTTTTGATGTTGAAGTACTAAAATAACTAAAATTGAAACAAAAACAAATTAAAACTAAACAGAAAAAATAGAAAAGTGCATAAAATTACTAAACCATAAAGACTAAAAATATAAAAATAAAAGATAATTCAAAATTTTTTTTATGAATACTATAATAACACTACAATAAAAAGTTAAGGCAACATTTCTGAGTGTTGTACAAGTTGAAGCACTAAAATTACTAAAACGGAAATAAAAATAAATTAAAGCTTAAATAAAAATACGTACAAATAGAAAAATAATAATAAAAAAAAATGACAAAAGCACAAGAGAATGAGTAAAACTCAAAAACCTAAACTTAAATGAAAATGAAAACTAAAAATAAAATCACATTTAAAATATGAATAAATATTATATAACACTAAAATAAAAAAAAAGAGTTAAAGCGATAGTTCACCCAAAAATTTAAATTCTGTCATCATTTACTCACCCTCAAGTAGTTCCAAACCCGTATAAATTTCTTTGTTCTGCCGAACAGAAAGGGAGATATTTTGAAGAAAGTTTGTAACCAGGCTGTTTTGGGGCACCATTGACTTCCATAGTAGGAGAAAAAAATACTATGGAAGTCAATGGTGCCCAAGAACTGCTCTGTTTCCCATATTCTTCAGAATATCTTCCTTTGTGTTCTGCAGAACAAAGACATCCATACAGGTTTGAAACTACTTGAGGGTGAGTAAATGATGACAGAATTTTCATTTTTTGGGTGAACTATCCCTTTAAGGTTGATATTGATATTGGGTTTTAGGTTTTGTTACACTGGAAATGGATGGTCAGGCTGGGTGCATTGCATTGTGGGAATTTGAATAGTTTTGAGTGTCCTTGATTGTTCTGGTACTAGTTGAGTGTTTCTGCAATTTCTTGTCTATTATACTAATAAAAAGCTGTGTTTAATTTAGGTTAATTACATTACAGTTACTGATATCTGCTTTTTTTCTCACTTTAAACGTTTAAAAAGAAATGCACTTGTCAGTGATATGGCCTGGTGGTCAATGAATGCTGGAGTTCAAGCCTGGATAAAAGTCTCAGATAACGGCTTCTACTTCATGTTAAATTCATTAATGCAGTGCACAAAGCACATAAACACAAACACGGAGTGTGAATCCAGTGCTTAAACACCTATTGTTTCTCCCAGATAAAAGATCAGAAGTGTGTTTGGCATTTAGGTGTGACAGACCCAGCTGGGC